TCTCCGAGCAGTTGATAAGAGAATTTTCCTACTGAGGCCCAAGTTGCCAAGGGTTTACCTGGCCAGGAAATCAGAAGGTGAAGAGTTTCACAGTTATCTGAACTGCCACTTACATTCATTCTATGGCAACACGAGCAATATATTACTAAGATGGTTACTGTATATATCACAACTGAGTTTTTCCAGTGTTCACAACTTACGACTCGAAATTTGTACACTTTGCTAGCCACTAAAGAAAAAAAAAAAGGGAAAAAAAAAACCCCAAACAAAAGGTGTGATTCTTACTGCTGGAAGCTACTTCCCCCTAAGCTTTATACAGAACTTTGAACCCTGGCATGCTGATTTTGGCAGATTAATGCACTGAATGTTCCTATTTCGGGCGTTACCATAATCACCCCAAACTTAACCACTTCCTGCACTATAGTGTTGCAAATGTAATCAGCACAGAGCGAGGGGAGGTGCCACCACCTCTCCAGCAGCTCCTCCGAACACCAGGGGGTTCACTCTTCACCTTTACTTCCACTTGCAAAACAAAGTCAGTTGCTACTACATCAGCTGTAAACGAGTTCCCAGGACACACAGACCCTGATTTCTGGGACACAGCAGCCAAGAGCCTGTTCCAGAGGCAGCACACAGCTCTGGGGAGCTGCCAGGTGCCTGAGGTGGCACTGAGTGGCACCTGGAGATGGTGCTGAGTGCCCACAGCTCCCAGCTGGGAGGCTCAGAGCGGTGCAGCCTGGCTGTCCTGCCCTGGGGCTGCGACAACGACAGCTCAGGTCTGTCACAAAGAAACCAGGGCGAGCAACGAGCCAGGAAAAGAAAGAAACAACAAACAAAACCCCAAACCTAAGCGTCCACCCTCGAAAGGAGGCGAGGAAAACAGGCAACCCAAAGATCCTGAACTGCTCCTCCTCCTCGGCGCGCCCACGAGCCCAGGTGTGCTGCCCACGCTCCCACCTACAGTCCTGCACAGGCCACACTTTGCAAAGCTTTCTGAGTGAATCATTAGTAAGGTCAAGAGACTCTACTTCAAGCTGGAAACACAAGGTTTACTACAGTAGTACATTCAGTTTCATCACCAGTGACTAAGTGATGCCGACAGTATCCGGCTGCACTCGCTGCACGCGCCGCCCCGGGGGCTCTGCCGGGCAAGGCCATCCATGGCACACACCATCCCACAAAGCCAAATGTTAAATAGGTTAAAAAAAGTTCTACATTTTACAGAAATGCTCTTTTTCTTTTTCTTGTCGTTTTTCCAAAAATAATATTCTCTTATCCTTTTTTCTTCCTCCTAGGCCGAGGGAACGGGTTAATTTTGTCAACTCAACCTTTCGCTTCGTCGAAACGCTACTTCCGCAACCCCAAAACTGATTTCAAGCAGGAAAAAAAACCCCTCTGCAAATTAAAAACGAAAATACAAAAATTATAACCTCTATTATTTATAGTGATTGGAAATCCTCCAGCATTTGCGAAATCACTTTGAGAGATGAATTTCGGGACCCTCCGCGACTTCTCCACGCAAGCCACGCTCCAAGTTCAGAACTGCCCTGCACGAATCCTTTCCTTCCACAAGTCTCTGCTGCTCCTCAGTCCACAGCTCCAGCTCCACACGGACTCGTTGGCTGCCCAAGCATTACTTTGGTGACCGCGGCGGCACGTACTGCTCCTTGCCCGCGCGTCGAGGCGCTCCCTGAGGAGAGGATCTGCGTCCCAACTGGCGCCTCTGTTCCCTGATTTTCCCGGCGGCTCCCCTGGGAGCTGCAGTGCCACGGAACCCGGAGTAATCCTTCATTCTCCCTTCCACCTTCTCTGGAGGAGCCTTCTCCAGGGGTTTCTCCACGGCCTTCTCCAGGGTTTTCTCCGCGGCCTTCTCCGCCGTACCGTTTTCTTCGCCCTTGGCCGGGGGAACGATGTTGGCGCGATGCTCCCTCAGGGGCTGCACGGGCACCGGCGCCGGCTCCTTCGGGGGCTTCTGGCAAACCTCGGCGTAACTGAGCTTGCGTGGCTCCTTGGGACCGAGGGGAGAGCAAGGTTTACCCCAGAACCTCCTTCGGCCCAGCCCAGGCACCGAGTCGTGCCACGACGGCAGGAGCCCGCGTAAGCGTTCCTGGCCCGGCCCCGGCGCCACCCCCAGCGAAAACTGCCCTGGGCCTTACCTGCGTCGACAGAGCAGGAGCTGCACCTGCTTGAGCAGAGGGTGAGGAGCTGTTTGTCCTCGGTGGCTTGGCAGCGCTGACGGGAGACGCGGAGGCCGGAGGGGAAGCCTGGCTGGCCACGTCCTTCTGGGCACACACTTCTTCTGCTTTGCTCTCTGGCTGAACTGGGCTGTTCGAGCAAGAACAACTCAACGTTAAAACCTCCTGACACACAGATTTCAGGGATTGTTTCCCTTCTCAGGGAACAGGACGGCACAGCCATTCCCACCACCATCGCTATTTCCACCGTGGCCTCTGCAGAACGTGCCTAGCATGGATGGAGAAACAAACATCAGTGCCCCAGTGCTGGACACTGGTGAGAGACTTTGCTAGACCATGCAAACGAGGCAGCAGTGCCCTGGAGCCAGGGGGACACTGTCCTAGGGTGCCCCAAGCCTAGTGAGGGAGGGGACTGTCCCCACTGCTCTGTGCTGGGGCTTCATCTCAAGTGCTGGGGGCAGTCTGGGGCACCACAACGTAAGAAAAATATAAAGCTGTTGGAGAGTGTCCAAAGGAGGGACACAGGGGAGGTTTGGGCTGGATATCAGGAGAAGGTCCTTTCCCCAGAGGTGTTTGGGCACTGGGACAG